CGAATGAGCCGGTTCAACCAACTGTCGAAGTTTGCCGAGGATTACCGAGGACTCAACAAGAACCGAATGAGCCGGTTCAATCAACTGTCGAAGTTTGCCGAGGAATCAGAGGACTCAACAAGAACCGAATGAGCCGTGACGAAGTTTGCAGAGGATTACCGAAGATTCTGATGAGTGAGTTGACAATACTGTGCAAGCCTGAGGCGCGTACTGGAAATATGCTTATGACTGTTATTAATTTACATTTTATTAAAACCTGCAAAAACCTTTCTGTCGAGTGATGTAAATACATTTTACAATAGTTTATTGTGCATGCTGATTATATTTAAAGTTGCTTAAGCTAAATCAAGGAGTTTATAAGACTGGTTTATTCATTCTTTATACTGTAGAAATGTAGAACATATCCACGTTTGTTCATCAATCTCTGTAATGTGTGCTGTAGGTGTGAACCTTTTAGGAATCTTATCCGAGTTGTAGGCTAGTCAATACTGGTCAGTCAGTCGTATCTGACAAAGGTTCTGCGAATGATACTGTGACCACAAACACCATTAACTTAAGTGAATTATGTGGTAATCAGCAATATGCTTTCACACAAATAACCTTATTTTTGGAATGTTTCAATATGTGTTGACACAAATGACTTATTTGAATTTTTCATTGATACATTGCACTGAGTCGTTAGAAAAGAAATGCGTAGAGACGTTATTGCTTGATGACATCAGGAACCGATGAATCTGCTTTTTGAACTGGTTCAATGAACCAATCTGTCCGAAAAGAACCGGTTTGCGGAAATGAATCGGACTTTGCATCACTTATCAGTGCCTCGATACAATCCTGTTTCAGAGGTCTACAGATTCCTTGGACTTCATGGCTTGGTTTGTGGTCTGACATGCACTGTTATCTGTGGGACCTTATATAGACAGGTGTGTGCCTTTCCAAATTATGTCCAATCAACGGAATATAGCACAGGTGGACTCCAATCAAGTTGTAGAAACATCTCAAGGATGATCAGTGGAAACAGGATGCACATGAGCTCAATTTTGAGTGTCATGGCAAAGGCTGAATTTTGAGGAAAATAATTAATTTAATCCATTTTGGAATAAGGCTGTAACATAACAAAATGTGGAAAAAGTGAATCACTGTTAATACTTTCTGTGTGCACAGGTCAAGGGAAATTTGGTTTCTCATGTCATGACCCCTTTAAGTCTTCATGTAAGGACCAAATATTAGCTTCTGTCAAGTTCGTTTTGTGATATAGTTAGTTTTCTTTCATTTTCCCCTAGCTTCAGAGAGGCATATTAAAGGGCCCGGGAGTGGAAAAGCGACACATGTTGTTTGTAAAGAGAGCCTAGTAATATATGCTTATTAAGGCATTTGTGTCCTGAAACATTCTGTCATTGTTTGATGAGTATACTGATGCTGGCAAAAGAGTTTACAATTTTATAGGAGAGTTATTTGAGATACTTAAAGTGTTTGTACACAGTTTATTTTTCAGCATTACTGTTTGATTACTGCAATGTTAATGTAAGTGAGTTGCAGTTTTTATTTGGTGAAATACATTGTTGTCATTTTTTGACATTGTATATATCAGGAAATTGTGTAATGTGAGTTTATTGAACAAGGGTTTTACTCATATATGAAGAAGTTACACTGCCAGTTATTTCAACACACTGTGAAATGAAGTCTAATTTCTTGCTGTGTTTGTTAATTTAGAAGAGTGTGACAGTAATAAAAGACCATACCCCGGTTTCACAGACAAGGCTTAAGCCTAGTCCCAATTTAACTATTGCCTAGTCCTGGCTTGGTCTAAGCCCTGTCTGTAAAACTAGGCCCATATGTACCACCAGAAAAATAAATCTACCTCTTCTGTGTCGGCAACAAATAGTTTGATAATGTTAGTGATGTTGGTGCACCTGCAGCATCTTCACACATCTGAGGCAGCTGAAAAAAAACTAAAGTGTTCATTTTGTCAGTTAATGTAATTTTATTTTTTTTTCCAGTCTATTTTATCATGAGAGTTAGAACAAAGACATATTTATCTGGTAAAGTATGTTACCATATTAATATGAAAAAAAGAAATCATTCAAAAAACAACAGTTGCTTTAGTATTTTGCAACATGCTTTTTAATGCTTCATTTATCTTTGAATGCTCTAAGCCGTGGAAATATAGCAAACAAAATGTGGTACATGATTTATATAATATACTCAATGTATCGCAATTAAATGCAAGAACAATTAACAATACAGTCAAATAATACCAAAATAATTATTTGTGTAAAATAATAATTATAAGCGTACAAGTCATTAATCTGATGAAGAATATTCTCCTCTTCTAGGTGTATGAGAATATTTGTCTTTTAATACTTCACATTCAGAATTGACTTTAATTTTTGACATTAATTCATTTACCCTTAAAGCACTAAAACAAATCTAATACTCACCCAAATTAATGCTTAAACTAATAGAAGTCTATTAAAAAATAATCCATAAACAAGTTTGCACCTCTATGCTATTGGAATTCGTCATAAAAGCTCACAGATAAATGAATATGATTATGCGTGAGTCTGACTGGTGGTGTATTTAAATCTGGTCTCTTTCACCTCTGGACGGTTTTTTCTTCTTTTCTTTAGAATTGACTCTCTTGTTTCTTTAATTGCCTTCAAGACAGCACAAAGCTCTTTATGTGTTTTCCTCATCTTTGCGATGGACTTGAGCACACTAGATTTGACCTTTTCTGGATCATCTATGTTTCCCTGTTGTCTGATCTCATGAACCTCTTGAGAATCTTTCGCTATGAAGATGCCATCAACAATGACTAACAGTCCACTTAACACACCTGAAACTGCCACTGCTGCACGTCCTAATTTGGCAGCCTGAGCACCAACTCTGCCAACATTTACCAACAGACATGCAAGTTCTGCAGCAAACACTGCTGTACTTCTCCCTACCCTCCATGGTATTTTCACATTATCAAATGTTAAGTAACTGACAAAATCACTGAACTTTGTGATTTTTCTCAGAAGACTCAGTGTTTTTGGTGAACTGAAAATTAGAGCACCTTCATTTTTGCATTTTTGCTCCATTTTTTTTAGGCTCTCACTGAATGATTTTTGTTTTACTGTATCTGTAATGTTGGATGCAGCACCTGTTACACCACCTGCAACACTGACTCCTATACCAACGCCTGTAACAATCAGAGATGCTCCAAGAGTGAAAGGTGCCAGAATTGCACCAACCAATGCAGTGATTCCTCCTGCTGCTCCAATGACTGCACCTGACAAACTGCCTATAGTGCATTTACGATGTATCTCCTCTAGTGAATCTGCTGTTTTTTCCATTTCATTCAGAAAGGCCTCTGAGTGTTTGTAGGCCTCATCAAAGTTCTCAGTGGACTTCATGAATCTTTCTTCAAGTTGGTCTGGAATTCTCCTGTTTCTGTTCACTGCATCTTTCAGGAATGGTTTTGCCAAAATCTCAATAGCTGAAGGTCTGTCTTTAGGGTCACAGCTGAGCATTTGACTGATTATATTCTTTAGATCTTCTGAATATGTCTCAGCAATTCTGGGGGTGATTCCTGTTAGGCTGGAGGCATGTAGAACGTAACGTTGTATGGGATTTGACTGTCAGATACAGAAAATATAAAAAGGAAAATCTGGTTAAACTTGTATTAGGCTAATATGGTTAAAATTCTGCACACTGAGAATATATACATATACATATACGCCTAAAATGTATAATTGCAGGAAAAATATATATGTTGTATTGAACATTAATGGAGCAACATATTTTGTGTGAAAATAAATCATTCAAGTTGTTTATTTTGTTTAAATATCTTATAAATGTATGAGGTGGCAAGAGGGACCTTTTACCCCACACACGGGGTAAAAGGCCCACAGTATTGATACAAATACTTCAGCTAAAATAATGTTTTTTTTATATTGTCTATGATAATACTTGTTCAAAACAATCACTTTAGCAAAGTTTGTGCAATTTGTTTGCTTATTTTGAAAAATATAATAATTATTTTCAATAAATATACTGTCATTAAAATGTTAATATAAAACAATATATTTTAATACAGAAACAAAACCGTTTTAATAAGTAAAGATTCTGAAAGTATTGAAGGCGATCCAATAATAACTGAATATATATATTTACAGTAGTCTTAACAAATTATATTTTATTATATGATATGATTAATATCATGTTTTTAAATATGATGGTTTCATTCTAAACATGGTGATTATCTCTAATATGGAAATAATGCATCGTTCACTTGCAGAACGCAAGCTTATAGAGGGCACATAACTCTGACGTAATGAATTTAGGTACACTGTCATTGGCTCACACTGCGCAGATTTCCGGTTCCTGTCTGCCATGCTACTGAGTGGTTTGCAATTGTAGCTTGTGTAGCTTTGTTTTTATGTTGGAATCTTACTATAATTCTCTGATGTTTAAACTGCTAAAATATAACTTAATTCTCACCATATTTCTGATATTATCTATCAATCTAATTTGACATCATTTGCATTTTAATCTAAACCGCTAACGCAGCGCATTAGCATTCCGTTAGCCTGTTAGCTTGTTATTCGAGCCTGCCATTTTTTTTCTCTCTCTTGCTCCGTTTTTCACAAGTTCATCAAACAACTGTGGTAAGTCGGAATCATTCAACAATCATGGTGAGTAATGGCTTCTTCTCCTGTTATTGTCACTTGCACTGCTTGCCACATGTATAGTGTAGTCTTCTCTGTCAGCGGCCATTGGCACAAGACCACGAGAACCAGACAAATTCTCTGCTCAATCTGACGTGTGTTGCAGCCTGGAATTAAACCACACCATGCTGGTTTCGTCTGGCCCAGCATGCCCGCCGACTGAGCCTGGTTTCTCCAATGGTTTTTTTTCTCCATTTCTGTCATTGATGGAGTTTTGGTACGTTGCCACTGTCGCCTTTGGCTTGTTTAGTTGGGGACACAATTTCTGGCAACATTGTTGACTTGATTGCACTATTTGAAGAGAACTGAACTGAGCTGGACCATGACATCACTGAATCAAAACTTTAACTGAAAAACTGACTTTTCTATTGTTCTCTTGCATTATCAGCTCACATTTTTCCTGTTTAACACTGTAAAGCTGCTTTGACACAATCAGTATTGTATAAGGCGCTATATAAATAAAGGTGACTTGACTTGACATAAGACATGTTTTAGCCTGCTCAATATATTATAATGATTTTATGTATATTCAAGTTTTAACAGGTTTACATGTTGTCTTAACCATTTATTCCTCTTATCTATTTAAATGTGTGAATGTTAGTGATGGGAGAAACAAACTGTGACAAACACAGTTTGGTCAAAATTGTGTAAATGCAACAAAACTCATGCCAAAACATGCCAAAAAAAAAACCTTTATAAAAACATGCAAATGCTTTCTTGAAAGTATATTAAATGCAATTAAAATAATAAAATACCATTAAATATGAAGTCTGTATAATGTTTAAAAAAAAAAAAAATTATTATTTTTCAGAGCTTGTTTTGTTTGTTTTAATGAGAGCTTGTCTAAACAGTCCAGAAAGAGACTATGAACTACTACTCATTCTTTCAATTGAGTCTTTCAATTCACTTTTAATTGATGTAAATATGACGGATAGGGCCGAACACTACAACTTTGAGGGATGGTAGTACCCACCCCATCCACAACATGGATCTTGGAAGATCCAGCATTAGATCTTCCAAGATGGCGGCGCGTTCACACGCTGCGGCTTCTCTCTCTCCCGACAGAAAGGTGTTTTCGTGTTTTTTGTCTTGTGAGTCGCAGTGTTTTTGTACGTATTCGTCGCGTCTATCTGTCTCAAAGCGCGCATACAGTCGTGAGTTTCTGCTCGATGTCGGCAGAACCACAGTTTTAGAGTTAAACTCTGCGCACGCCGAAGAGCTGCGGGATCTCAGTCTGCTCTGGAGGCCCACACCACCCACAAGCGGCGTGAGAGGAAGCAGAAGAGGGGTAAGCGCGGAGGTATCCGGGCTA